ACAAAAATTTTCCGATTTTGTCGACAAATTTACTTGACAAATTATCGATAAATTTGTCGACAAAAAACGATAAAATTTTGTCGACAAATTGTCGACAAATTATCAATAAATTCGTCGAAAGTAATTTATCGACAAATTTATCGACAAAATTTTGTTGACAAATTGTCGATAAATTTGTTGTTTTTTTTTGTCGATAAATTTGTCGAAGGGGGCATTTGTCGACAAATTACTGACAAAAATTGCTATTGACCGCCGGAATTACTTGTTTTTCCAACTTGAATTTTATATTAGGTTGGCAGGAAAGTAAATGTCCATTTTAGAATTAGTAAATAAAACAAAAACAAGATTAATCCAAGATTGACAGTATGTACCGTCGTGGTCCACAACATGTTGTCAACATTTAGGTAACTCGTGGATACCATCCTCCAAAAGCCGGCTGGGCGCGAATCAAAGCATTACTGTAGCACATTTTTTTTTCTCATCGATAATGTTAAAGTCCTTACGCTCCAGATGAAGTCGTATATCTTCGAATAACCAATAATCAGATAAAACAAAATCAGAACTTTCACCGGGGTAAAGGATAACCGTCCAGCCAAAGCGGCTCAGGTACGGCGTGACTTTCCGTGAACATGCGGTTTTTTCATTTTTTAACGACATGCAAGTCAGACCTGAGCAGCTTCAGCGAGACGATTCTCCCTCACCTAGTTATAGTCCCGACTTGACTCTATCAAATTATAGGTTATTCGGAAATATACGAAGTCATCTAGAGGGTGATGGATTTTGCACCATTTATGAGAAAAAACTAAAAAAAATGAATTCTTCGATCCGCGAGCTCGCTTATGGAGGAAGGGTATCCACAAGATACCTGAATGTGCTATGGACCACGACGGTGCATACTGCTAATCTTGGATTAACCTGGTTTTTGTATTATTCACAATTAAAACAAGGGACAGTTCCTTTCCTGCCAACCTAATAGGCCACCAAACTTTTTGACATGAAAAGGATCTGATGTTAACATGGTGTGTTTTTAGGCCATTTTAACATGGTGGCCTAACTTTTGCAATATGAGTTTTCTAGGCCACCCATCTTTTCGGCCTAGAAATGGTCAGATATTTACCTGGTACGTTTTCTGAGCCATTTCGGGGTGGTGGCCTAACATTTGCAAGTTCAGTTTTCTAGGCCACCAACTTTTTTTGCTTAGAAATGATCAGATATCCATCTGGTATGTTTTCTAGGCTATTTTTACATGGTGGCCTAGAAAACTCAACGCGCGAAAGTTAGGCCACCATGTTAAAATGACCTAAAAATGACCTAAAATAAAAACGACCAAAACACACCAGGTGATTAAAATGACCAAAACACACCAGGTGAACATCAGATCATTTCTAGGCTAAAAAGAATCGTGGCCTAGAAAATTCATGTTGTGAAAATTGGGCCACCAAGCCAGATAGCCTATAAAGTTTGGTTATGTAAGTTCTTCCACCATTCTAGAAGTCCTAGGAAAAAATGGTAACGATACGATTTTTTACAAGTAATTCCTGCGGTTAATAGCAATTTTTGTCGCCAATTCCGTCGATAAATTGTCGACAAACAGCATTTTTATCGACAAATTTATCGACAAATTGTTGATAAATGTTGTTTTTATCGACAATTTGTTGGTAATTTTCCGATAAATTTGCCGGTAAATTTGTCGATAAATTTGTCGGAAAGGGCGTTTGTCGACAAATCATTTGCCGATAAGGCACACTGGCGTCAAGTGACCAAAAATGTGTTAAAGCACGAAAACTTCGTCAAGGACCGAGAAATGTATCATGGCACCAAAATGCGTCAAGACACCAAAACGGCTCCAAGGCGAAGGATATGCTTCAAGACACTGAAAATGCGTCAGGGTATCGAAACTACGTCAAAGCACGTGAAATGTGTCAAGGAATCAAAATTGCGTCAAGGAACAGGAGATGCGTCAACGCACAAAAAATGCGTCAAAGCCCAGAAAATGCGTAAAGGAACGAAATACGCGTCAATGCACCAAAAATGCGTCAAGTAATCGAAATTGAGTGAAGGCACTTCAATTGTAAGGCACCAAATAAGCGTTAAAGCACTCAAAATGCGTCAAGGCACGGGAAACGGGTCAGGACACGAAAAACGCGTTAAAGCACCCTAAATGCGTCAATACACTTGAAATGCCTCAAAACATTTAATATGCCTTAAGGTACCGAAAGTGCGTCAAGTAATCGAAAATGCGCGAAGGCAACAAAAATGCACCAAGGCATCAAATAAGCGTCAAGGCACTGAAATTGCGCCAAGGCACTGAAAACGCGTCAATACTTCAATACACGACAAGTTTCTGACTTGACGCCTTTTTTGTGATTTAACGCCTTTTCATCCCCACGGCTCATATTTAGGGCCTTTGCCCATTTTCGGTGCTTTGACGCATCTTCAGGCGCTTGGCGCATTTTAATGAATTGAAACACGAGAAAAGCGCCAACAAACTCACATCTGGATTGTCAGCCATCGAATATTCAATCCAATAATACGTGAAAATCGTCGCAGACATCGCAGAAAGCAGAAATACATGGATTGCCAACCGAATTTCACGATTTCGAAGAGCACGTTGTTTACTGCAACTTCTATTTTCTAAGGATGAGCAATGATGAAAAATGCAAGTTTGCTCCATTGATAACACCGATAAAATTCTAGACAAAACGGAAAAAGAATCACTTACAAAATAGTTTGACCCAATGAATTTTTTCCGTTTTTCCGAGTGATAAAAAGTACGCGTAGAATTGATAAATACATGAAAATGACGATTATGGAGGCGATTAGGAACGAGGTGATGACGATGATGGAGAAAGTATGAAAAAAAGCACAAAAAATGCGTCAAGGTACGAAAAATGCGGCAAGGCACGGAAAGTGCGTCAATTCACCGGAAATGCACCTTGGGACGAGAAATGCGCCAAAGTACAAAAATGAGTCAGGGCACAAAAAAGTCGTCAAAGCTCGAGAAATGCGTCAGGCCACGAAAAATTCGTCAATGCACCAAAAATGCGTCAAGACACGGAAATGCGTCAATGCACGAAAATTGCCAGAGGGCCTTTGACGCATTCTTGGTGACTGAATCATTTGATGTCTCTTGGCGCAATTTCGGTGCAAAAAAAGCGCCAAAGCAGAAGACACGCATTAAGGTGTCAAAACACCCGCTAAATTGCAAAATTCTCTGCTTGTATTGACGCATTTCTCGTGCACTGACGTAATTTTGGTGTCTTGACGCATTTCTCGATATTTTCCGCATTACTGTACCTGCAGATGAGTGGGCGAATTGATAATAAATAATTTATCCTCATCTTGAAATGTCGCTTTGCTAACAAGAAACGCTGGAATGAACAGAATGCATGGTATACTGTAATGGATCCCAAAAAGCACCAATGGAGGCAAATTATCTATGAGCTGAAAAAAATTGTTTCGAAAAATTCGAATTACTGTACCTACCGTATTCATTTTGCTGCCCTGCCAACAAACAGCAATATATCTCTGCGAAGTGATCAAGAAAATGCCAAACATTCTGACAATGAACATTAGAGGTCCGGTATTTGAATGAAACCAAGCGACTCCATAACCTTGAATGTAGTATAATAATTTATTTCCGATTCCGAAATATCGAGCGATGAGAAGATTGAAAATTGTGAGGATGATGAGGACGTCAGCGAGACCCTGCAAAGAAATGCACTGAAAATGCGTCGAGGCACTGGAAATGCGTCAATAAGACATAGAAATTTGAATTCGCCTTGCTGAAAGCTTCAAGATGAGTATAATCATGGCACAGTTTAGATAAATTTTGGTGTTGGCGCATTTTCAGTGCGTTGGCGCTTTTCTCGTGACTTGGCGCATTGTAGGCGCATGATCTTATTTTAGAGCTGTGGCATATTTTTGGTCACATTTATGGGCAGTTCTATGACCTTGCGCTTTTTGGGTGCCTAGGCGCATTTTAGGTGCCTTGACGAATTTTTGGTGACTTGACGTTTCTTCGGTGCATTGACGACAAATGCAAAGGACTGCTTCCAGACACGCAAAATGCGTAAACGTATTAGAATTAGGTCAAACCACGAAAATTGCGTCAAGGCACGAGAAAAGCGTCAAGGCGCAAGAAATGCGCAAACACCAAAAATGCTTCAAACCAAGTCATGATTATACTTATTTTGAAGCTCTCAGACAGCCCAGCTCAACGTTTTGAGTTTTATTCATTCAAAAAACTTCAAAAATTCAAAATCAAAATTTCGAAAAATTTCAGTTCTCTGACTTATTTTTGAAAAATGCGCCAAGACACAGGAAACGCGTCAGTGTACTCAAAGAGCGCAAAAAACGTGCCAAGACAGCGAAAAAACATTAGAAATGGGTCAAAGCACGAAGTTTGCGTCAAGGCACGAGAAAAGCGTCAACGCACCGAAAATGCGCCAATGCTCCAAAAGAAGTCATGATTATACTTATTTTGAAGCTTTCAGCAAACCAAGCTCAAATTTTGAAATTTTATTAACTAAAAAGGCTCTAAGAATCCAAAAAACACAAAATCGAAAATTCAAGAATTTCAGTTTCCGTGCCCTCACCTGCGACAAAACCAATGTATAATACGGGGTTTTGAAGACTTTTTGCTTTTTTCGATTTTTAAAAATATCCATTAAAAGCATAACATAAACTGGGAACAGGGTAAATGCCTCGATAACCACCACATCCATTTGCCAAAAAATTGTTAGAACCATTTTTTTTGAATTGGCGGGAAACTGAAAAATTCAAATTTTTTAGACAAAAATGAGCAGAATGAGAAAATTTTGATGTTTTTGATATGAAAAATGAATCGGACAAATCAGAAGAGTCAGTGAAGCGAAAATTCACATGATGACTATACTAGAAAGTCTGTCTGACAAGGAAAAAATTCTAGAAAAATCTGAAAATCTGAAATTCCAGAAGTTGCTTTCTCACGCCCAATAGATTGAGTACATTGAAGTTTTTTTCACACGACATATCAATTTTTGGGTCATTTTTTGGATTTTTTGGTTTTTCGGTTTTTCGGAAATATCAAATATATTTTTGAAAAATAAGACAACATTTCAGAGATCAAGAGAAATTTTAATGAGAAAAACTTTTGAAAAACACATAGCTTGTACTTGGGTTCAGGAAGTGGAAATGATCATTTTGATACGATTGAATGCACAAGTTTTGCGTCAAGACACGAGAAATGAGTGAACACACTGAAAAGGTGAAAAATAACAAGATATGTGTCGAGGCACTTAAAATGAGTCAAAGAACGGAAAATGCGCCAAGGCACGGAAAATGCGTCAAGGAGCAAAAAACGCGTCCAGGCACTGAAATTGCGCCAAAGCATAGAAAATGTGTAAAGACACGAAAAACGCACCAAGGCACTAAAAATGCGTCAAGGCACTAAAAATGCGTCAAGGCGCTGAAAAGGAGTTAATGCACGGAAATTGCGTCACGTCCCGGAAAATGTGTCAATGAACTTAAAATAAGTCAAAGCACTGAAAACGCGTCTGGGCACGGAAAATGCGTCAATGCCCTGGAATTGCGCCAAGACACCGGAAACGCTTAGTCCATCGGTTGTTTTCCCAGTCGCTTTTTTAGTGCATCTCGTCACCGAAAAATGCGTCAATTACAGGTATTTTATGCTTTGACGCGTTTCTGGACGCTTGACGCGAAACTCGTTTCTTGGCGCATTTCACTCTTTATGGCGTAGATCTCGGGTCTTGGCGTGTTTTTACTGCCTTGGCGCATTTCCGGTGCCTTAGCGAATTTTTGATGACTTGGTGCACTTTTCGTGCCTTGACGCATTTCTAGTGCCTTATGCCGTTTTTGTGCCTTGGCGCATTTATAGTGTCTTGGCGTATTTTTCGTGTCTTGACCCGTTTTCAGGGCTTTGGCGCATTTTTCGAGCTCTGATACTGAAAGTGGGTCAAGATTAAATTTTACGTCATTTTCCAATATTTTTTCGAAATTTCATCATTTTTCCCGTGAATTTTTACCCAATTTTTTTCCATTATTCCCGACGTCACCTAACCATCCACGTCTTCCAAAAATCTCCCCAAAAATCAGAAATCCCCAAAAAAATCAGTTTCCGATTTTTTCCCTGAAGAAAATCGACAAATTGAGCGCTAATTGGTGAGAAGATATACGACTAAAATGTCGCTCACTTTCAAGTATGTTATTGGTTTTTGTTTTAAGCTGAGCAATCCACAATTACAGTACCACCTCGTTGAGATGGGTTGCTCCTGAAGGTCAGGCGATCGTCAAGATCAGCAATGCCACGCAACAGCGTTTTGCCATCAAGATCAAAACCACAAATGTGGACGTTTACAAGTAATTTTCTTTCGAAAAATCGATAATCAATTTATTGATTTTTTTTTCTTCAGGACCACTCCGAACACCGATTTCATCAATCCTGGATTCACTTTGAATTTGGTGGTTTGCCGTGGCAAAGCGCCGATGAAAGAGGACAAATTGGCTATCAATTATATTGAGGTATCCGGAAACGCGCAAAGACACGGGAAACGCGTCAACGGGTTACAGTTAGGGGCATTTATAATGAAGAGGAAAAACGAGCCAATCAAAGATTTTTTTAAAAAGTGGCGAAGCTAGTGTCTTACGAACGAGAAATGCGCCAGGGTACGAGAAATGCGTCAGGTCACTGAGAATGCGTCAAGGCCCAAAAAACGTGTCAAGAGACTTGAAAAAAGAAGTTTTTTGTGTCCTGACGCATTTTCGGGGCCTTGACGTATTTTTAGCGCCTAGACGCATTTTTCGTATCTTGACGTGGTTTTAGTGCCTTGACGCATTTTCAGCGCCTTGGCGTACTTCTAGTGTCTTGACGCATTTTTATTGACCTGGCGCATTTTCAGTGCCTTGACGTATTTCTAGTGCCTTGACGCATTTTTAGTGCCTTGACGCATTTTTAGTGCCTTGACGCATTTTTAGTGCCCTCAAGCCACTTTACTCATTTTAATCTCATTGTTTTCAGTGCGAAATGACCGACACAGACGCTGCGGAGATTTTCAAAAGACCAGGAGTCAAGCCGAACGTCTACATGATCACAATGAAGTGTGAGGAGACTCCACCGGCTCCAGGAGCTCCATAAGGTCACCGAAAGACCAGGTTTATAAGTATCATATCATTACAAGAGCATATTCAAGGATCAAGTTTAATAAAAAGTAGAATTTTTTTTTTTTGATTTTTTGCAAATCCTGAATGTACTGAATGTATCTGTCGCGTTTGTTGTTTGTATAGAATTTCTGAAAATTCCAGAAATTCGCATTTTAAAATGTTCAATTTTTCCAAATTTTGAGTTTCTATATTTTGAATTTGCTATATTTTTGGTTGCCAAGTTTCTTTTATTCTGAATTTCTGAATTTCTGAATTTCTGAATTTCTGAATTTCTGAATTTCTGAATTTCTGAATTTCTGAATTTCTGAATTCCTGAATTTCTGAATTTCTGAATTTCTGAATTTCTGAATTTCTGAATTTCTGAATTTCTTAATTTCTGAATTTCTGAATTTCTGAATTTCTGAATTTCTGAATTTCTGAATTTCTGG